AACCATCACCTATTGTGGTGAATTTTATGTGTCAGCTTGACTGGGAGCATGTGGTGCTGTATTAGACCATTCTCACACTGCTATAGAGAAATACCCAAGGCCAGGCATGGTGGCTCACACCTGTCTTCCCAGCACTTTGGGAGACTGAGGCGGGTAGATCACCTGGGGTCAGGAGTTTGAGACCAGCCTGGCCAACATGGTGAAACCCCGTCTCTACTAAAAATACTAAAATTATCTGGACGCATGCCTGTAATCCCAGTTACTCGGGAGGCTGAGGCAGGAGAATCACTTGTACCTGGGAGGCGGAGGCTACAGTGATCCGAGATCACACCACTGCATTTCAGACTATGCGATGACAAAATGAGACCTCATCTCAAAAACAACAACAACAACAAACAGAAATACCTGAAAGCTATGTGCCGTGGCTCACGCCTGTAATCTGAGCACTTTGGGGAGGCTGAGGCGGGCAGATCACCTGAGGTCAGGAGTTCGAGACTACCCCGGCCAAAATGGCAAAGTCCCATCTCTACTAAAAATGCGAAAATTATCCAGGTGTAGTGGCATTTGCCTGTTATCCCAGCTACTCAGGAGGCTGAGGCAGGAGAATTGCTTGAACCCAGGAGGCGGAGTTTGCAGTGAGCCGAGATCCCACCACTGCACTCCAGCCTGGGTGACAGAGTAAGACCCTGTCTCAAGAAAAAAAGGAGGAGGAGAGAGGAATTTGCGCCGCACCCCCATGCCCCTCCGTTTTCCCCACTGCCTCACTGCGTGAGCTGGCACATTTCATGTCATCTTCTCAGCCTCCACCCCCACCATTCCCCCTCTCCCTCAAACTGGGATTTACACCATTGCTCAGGCCTTCAGACTGGAACTGAATTACACCACCAGCTTTCCTGGGTCTCCGTATGGCAGACAGCAGATCATGGTACTTCTCAGCCTTCATGATTACATGAGCTGATGCCTCATAATAAATCTCCATTTACAAATAGAAATCTCTCATTAGTTCTGCTTCCTTGGAGAACCCTAATACAGGTATCTACTGGCATTTGGGAAGAGCATTTTTTCTTTAGGCAGGGATGTCCTATATGTTGCAAGGTGTTAAAACTTCTGGGCCTAGTTGTGAAATATTGATGACATTCCTTAATCATTCTGACAACAAATTTCCTTCTCCACCCCCAAATTTCCAGAAGTCCTCTGGAGAGCAGTTCTGCATCTGGCTCAACCACTCATAAGCTGTAGAGAGACTAGAAAAGAGATAATCACAGAGTCAGGCCATTTTTACCTGCAAGAATTTAAAAAACAGAGTTTTTAAGGTTCTTCATGTTTCCTCTTACTGAATTCATTCCTTGCTTCCTTCCTTCCTCCTTCCCTGCCTCCCTCCTTCCCCATCCCTCCTTCCTTCCCTTGTTCCTTTCTTTCTTCTTACTTTTATTACTTCTTTTGTATCATCAAGAATGAGTGTTGAATCCTACTGAATGTTCTTATTCCACCCACCGAGAGGGTCATATGTGTTTCTGTTACTGGAAAGGGGTCCTATTCCAGACCGCAAGAGAAGGTTCTTGGATCTCACACAAGAAGGAATTCAGGGCGAGTCCATAGAGTAAAGTGAAAGCAAGTTTATTAAGAAAGTAAAGGAATAAAGAATGGCTAGTCTATAGACAGAGCAGCCCGAGGGCTGCTGGTTGCCCATTTTTATGGTGATTTCTTGATGATATGCTAAAGGAGTGGATTATTCATGCCTCCCCTGTTTTGACGTTGCCATGGCATTCGTAAACTGTCATGGCGTTAGTGGGAGTGTAGCAGTGAGGACAACCAGAGGTCACTTTCATTGCCATCTTGGTTTTGGTGGGTTTTGGCTGACTTCTTTACTGCAGACTGTTTTATCAGCAAGGTCTTTGTGACCTCTATCTTGTACCGACCTCCTATCTCATCCTGTCACTTAGAATGCCTTAACCTCCTGGGATTGCAGCCCACCCGGTCTCAGCCTCATTTTACCCAGCCGCTATTCGAGAGGGAGTTGCTGTGGTTCAAATGCCTCTGCCATTTTCTCTTTTAATCTATTAATTTATATTTCTATGGCAGAGGTGACTTACTGCAAACCTATTCTGCCACTTTTCTTTAGTAACCACGATTGTATTTAGGTGGCAGTGTACCCAGTTAATGGACTGCATGTCTCAGCCTCCTTGGATGCAAGAAGTGGTCATGTGGCCAATACGATAAAGGCATAGGGCTGTTTGCATTTTTAGGAAGACCCTTTAAAATGAAATACACCATTGGAGTGCACCACTTTTGCCTTTCCTTCCTTCCTGCTGCCTGGAATGTTGATGTGATGGGTGGAGCTGCAGCAGTGCTGCTCCTTATCAATTCCTTGATAAGGTGATCTTGAGACTAGAAGCCAAACACTGGCATGATGGAGTAGACAGAGGAAAGTCTAGGTTCCTGGTGATAGTACAGCCACGATATTAAGCTTGGGCCACCTGCTTCTGAACTTAATTTACATAAAAATAAACGTCAATGTTTTTCTAAAAATACAGATCGAGGTTATCAAGGAATAGAAGTGAGCCTTCAACCGCAGTGTGAAATGGTGCATTCGGATTTCATCTAAAGTAGGCAGCTGCTTCCCAGCTTCATTCAGCCACAGGATGGTAGCTTCATTTAATCAGATCTCTCGTTTTTCAACAGATACAGATATTCCAACTTCTGTATGAAAGCTCCCAATTTAAAAATGGTGGCTTGGCCAGGTATAGTGGCTCACGCCTGTAATCCCATCACTCCAGGAGGCTGAGGTGAGTTGACTGCTTGAGCCCAGGAGCTCAAGACCAGCCTGGGCAACATAGTGAGACCCCAATTCTACAAAAAATACAAAAAATTAGCCCTGCATCATGGCGCACATCTATAGTCCCAGCAACTGTTGAGGCTGAGTGGGAGGACCACCTGAGCCCAGGAGGTGGAAGCTGCAGTGATCCATAATCACACCACAGCACCCCAGCCTGGATGACAGAGTGAGACTGTCTCAAAACAAACAAAACATAATAGCTCAGCTTTCATTAAAAACATAGTGTAGCCTAAATACAATACATCTAAGGGTGATATTTAGCCCACAGGGCTGCCAGTTGAACTCTGCTTAGGGAGGTTCCTTTCTGGGCTCATGCTGAAGTCGCCTTTGTAAAATCAGAAATGTATCTATTCACATTTAGCCTTTAATATCCCATGGGCAAGGTCAAATAGGGGAAGATCATGGGCAGATGCCACCCCTCTACTTCTGCACACCACACAAGACACTGCATTTTATTGCTTCTTCATGGTGTGTAGCAAATATAGCAGAAGTCCACTCAAAACTTATTTATTTATTTAACACTGAGTCTTGCTTTATTGCCCAGGCTGGAGTGCAGTGGTGTGATCACAGCTCACTTCAACCTCCGCCTCCTGGGTTCAAATGATTCTCATGCCTCAGCCTCCCAAGTACCTAGGACTACTGGCATGTACCACCGCGCCCATCTATTTTTCTATTTTTGGTAGAGATGGGGTTTTGCCAGGTTGGCCAGACTGGTCTTGAACTCCTGGCCTCAAGTGATCCACCCACCTCGGCCTCCCAAAGTGCTGGAATTATAGGCATGAGCTGCCGCGCCCGGTGTCAAAACTGTCTTTCTAAAATTTTGTTGGCTGGGCGCGGTGGCTCACGCCTGTAATCCCAGCACTTTGGGAGGCCGAGACGGGCGGATCATGAGGTCAGGAGATTGAGACCATCCTGGCTAACACAGTGAAACCCCGTCTCTACTAAAAATACAAAAAACTAGCCGGGCGTGGTGGCAGGCGCCTGTGGTCCCAGCTACTCCGGAGGCTGAGGCAGGAGAATGGCGTGAACCCGGGAGGCGGAGCTTGCAGTGAGCTGAGATCCGGCCACTGCACTCCAGCCTGGGCGACAGAGCGAGACTCCGTCTCCAAAAAAATAAATAAATAAATAAATAAAATAAAAATAAATAAAATTTTGTCAGAAGGGGGTTGTGGCAGCTCTGTGCAACTTGTCCCCTTTCCTGTTTCCTCGTGTAATTCTGTTGGACAGTGTTGTTTAGCAGAATGATAATATTTTCAGATTGCTTTTGTCCTTAAAAAAAGGATGTGGCCTGCCTGCCCAGTGCCTGGGAAGCTGAAATACCAGGAAGAAGAACAAAATCCTGGGTGTTCTATTGAGAGTGAGAGGAGGACAGGATTTTGATTGTTCTACAATGATATAAAACTCTCCCCTACTCCATGCCACACTGAGAGACAGCGTGGTGGATTGAACTGGGAGAAGGCCCGCGGAGCCCAGTGCGCCCTCCAGGATGGACATTTATGTCTTGATAAGCCTGGGGGTCACCATGCTGCATAATGAGGCTGGAGACCTGCCACTGATGGTGGTTGTCACATGTCATGGCTTTCTTCATTCCCACTTTCCCTTTCTGAGGCTGGAAGATATTTGGGGGGTGAGAGAAAATCAAGTTTGAAGGTAAATGAAAATATTGGGCACCCACTAGAATGTTCCACATCTGTAAATACGAATGCATCTTTGTAAACACTTAACATCTGTTTTGGGGGGTGCTTGTTTAAATCCACAGATGGCATTTTGCCAGAGGCTTCCTTTAGTTCCCTATTTCTCTCACTCAAGGTATCCTAGTTTGGAGATCCAGACCAGGTGCAGCCCATGTACCCTGATGAACCCTGAGTTCCCCTCCCCATCATCTTCCTCACCTCACAGGTGCGGCCCTGAAATGTGTTTCTACTGTCTCCTCACACAGTCCCCATGTTCCCCTCCTCTGGTTAGTTTTAGGGTAGTCTGGCCTGGGAAGGAATTTGGGACTGATCATGCCACGTCCCCTGGAATGGGACTAGAAAGGAATCCTGGGCTTCCTGGGGACCAAGGTCCCACTCAGGTTGTCATGGAAAATGAGGCTGAGAGCCCCCCTCTGCAGCACCCTGTGGGAGGGAACCCGAGGTCTCTGCTGGTCCTGGTGGGTACAGACCTGCAGCCATCCCGGTGCTCCGTGAAGCTCACTGATTTCCCCATGAAGCCCATGGAAGCCATCACTGGTTTCCATGGGAGCGGACCATGGCCACTCCTGCTCCTGTTCCCTGTGGGAAAGGGCCAAGGGCACCCCTGGTCCTGGTCACTGTGGGAAGGGACTGTGGTCACCGCTGGTCCTGGTCCCGGCGGAAGGGACTGTGGTCACCGCTGGTCCTGGTCCCCGTGGGAGGGACCGTGGTAATCGCTGGCACTGGTCCCTGCGGAAGGGACTGTGGTCACCGCTCATCCTGGTCCAGGTGGGAGCGGACCGCGGCTACCCTGGTGATGGACCCCACGGGGCGCACCCGCGCCAACCCGCACGCAGAGC